ACCAAACTGCGTTTTACCAACCCCACGAACTGCTGAATCGAATATATATAAACACAAGCTTAGGATGAAAAAGAGTAATCTCCGCAAAAGCCACGAACGAATGGATAGCCTTTGCGCGTCTCTTTCCATCCATTTCAATATTGTAGGTACACCCATGCATTGTCCATCGGAACAATACACCAGCAGAGACAGTTTGGAGACGCCAAAAGCGCGACATTGATATGGTTGCGAAGTCCGATACTTGCGGACAAACGGATACGCCGACAAAGGTATATATACCGTACTACGCAGCCTTTAATCGGATACATCGATAAGTTTGCGTTTACGTGTGTTCCCAGTGAAAACGCAATTTGATATCGATACGTTATTTTCTGGGCGTACACGATTACAAATGGTGTATGTTATCACGTTCGATAACTAAATACTCCTGCGCTGCAACGGTATGGATTCACTTTGTGCCATGACAACGCTTGTACTTGTCGATCGCGATGTTTAAGGTTTTTCGCTAAAAAAGAAAAATGTTTAAAAACAGTGGCAGTATTAATAAAAATTGCGAGTTAAAAATGCTTGCTGGTACACGCACGATTGATAATGGGTAGCTTTCGATACGACGAAGCTCTCGCTTTCTTTTTGCTGAAAAATAAAATCATTTTTTGGGGAAAAAAACCATATTTTATTGTACACTTACGTTTTGTGGCCTCAACAAAGGCATACTTACTCGTTTGATGTGTACACCGTACCTCATAACAATACAGCGCACGCACTTCATGGGTATTACCATACGCGAACCTTATACATTACAAACGCAACAAAAACAGCCTCGAGACTCTCTCTCTCTGTGTCTTATTTTGCTTTCTTACCGATGCAGGTCACGTCCGACTGTAATATACAGCATGAGCTTATGCTACGGCTACTGGCGTACCTATACTATTTTTGTCGTTTAGAAAGTAAAAAATATCGACACGTTCGTTCGGCTATTCGGTGACTGCTTTAACCAAGTTGATATAGGTAGCCGATTGGAAAATTCTCCGCAGATCGGTGAGTGCACTTTGTGACGTATAAATCGCTAATTCGAGCGGGATTGTAGCTTTATGATTTTTTTTTTTTGTTTAATTGAATGTTATTTGATTACTTACATGCATTGATGATACGTTCGACTAGCCATATTGTTCTGAGCGACTCGGGTATGTATATTGTGTGTCAAGGATGCTGATCGCGTGTACGTATATTTTTGTACTTGGGTGAGACTTTTTTTTAGTTTAGTTTACGTCAAACCTATTAATATATTTTTTTTCTTTTGCAATGAAAAAAAAAAAAAAAAAAAAAAAAAAAAAAAAAAAAAAAAANCGATGAACATTTATGCTTTCACTTTATAATTATATAAAAAAAAAAAAAAAAAAAAAAAAGCAGTTTGCTTCAATATTGTTGATACATTCGTGTTCAAGAAACCATTCGTGTCATGGATACAGGATGAACAAGCCATCGTTTCATTTAATTTCACTGTAGCCTGGCAGATACAATATATATTCCCATATCATCATCTTGTTCTAAAAAAACAAACAATGATTATTCAAACATGTACAACAACCAAGTCATAAGATGATGCGAAAAGTTTCAGCTGGTCAGTTTAAGTGTGGTGTAAAATCTGTAATGCTTCTCACCGTATAAAGGCACAACCCAACTTTTAGATTTTCTGTGACGCGAACCCGATTTCCATACGGTGAGGAAATTTCATCCCCTAAGCTCTCATTTTGCTGTTCAATTGAAAAAAAAGAAAAAAAAAAGATCCTTTTGCATAGTATATAAAAGCAGTAGCATGCAAGTAGGATGACTCGTGTAGCGAATCGATCAAGAACCGATGCTACTGGTGCAGTGTAACAACAACGACGACGACGACGACGACGACCCAGTTAAGATCACACGAGTGCATTGTACACTCGGAATTGAAGCCCCGCTTATCTACCCGATGGGGAGAATAATGTAATCACGATAGGCGTAAACGTAGATGTATAAGCGTACGGGGGAGGAGGAGGAGGAGGAGGAGGAGGAGAAAGACACGGAGCTATAGTGACTCGGCTAGTGTTGCAGACTTGGCTCGCTCTCGGCTCTCTCGCCCGAAGGAACACGATGAACGCGGTTTCTCTTGTGTATGGGTGAACAGTAGGCACGTGGTAAATACGCTCCGTTCTATATATCAACTTATTCATTTCTCCGTGGCAATTGTTGGTGGATCCATGGACAATCGTGTGCTTTTCGAGACTGGAGTTTTTATGAAAATCGGTGACGCTTCAATTACCGATCATAGCAAACATGCCCAGGAGTGCAATTTTCTTTTGATGCGTCATTCCATTGGAAGGCAAGAGAAGCAGGTGGTCGTGATCGGTTGGCGTGTGAAAAGGGGAGGATCGAGGCTATCGTTGCAAATTGTTTTTGGGAGTGGAATTTTTTTTTTTTTCCACCACGTACAGTGGGAAGGCAGTGAACTCTCGAGTGAGCCGCGCCCTGTGTGGGAATTACTGTTACCTTTGTTTTTTATGATTGCCTAACTGAGGAGCTTTCCAGATCTTCTTTTTAGCCGTCTGTCACATTTTTTACTCAAAAAATCATGTATCTTCGTCAAAGATGGATTTTTGCTACCGATCGTCGAACCGATCGATGACGCGATATGCGACCTTATACCCGATTTGCGTTAATATTACCCTAATTTAGAAACATCGTAAACACATTTCATCAAAGACAAACAAAATCATCCAACATCCGCGTAGAAAAGAAAAAAAAAGCTCTACCCATCAACCGATTTTATTTATCGATAGTCCTGATGAAAAGATAGTAACGATGCTTCAACGCCATGCGTACCCATCCTCGAGTCTTCAACAATCCGAAGAAGAAGAAAAAAAGAACAATCAATTACCGGTTACGTAATGGAAAAAACCAGCTTGCCGTAGCACAAATATCGCATACCCCTCGCGCACTATATTTCCCAAACGAGCTTACCAACTCGTATCTGTCATTGAACTTTTGCACTCACGTGCAAGTGCCTAAATATCCATTTCACAGAGTTAAATCGGGTCTCTTGATAGTTTTCTGTCAAAGGCTTTTGGTATAAAACAAAGGAAAATCCGCAATTCAAACGGGGATGAGAATTAATTGGATCCACCTGCAGCTGATGTGTCCAACAGTCATGAATATCTGATGTATTCCGATGTCGACCAATTTATATAATTTTCTCATCCTCTTTAATGGTACTGTCAAATCGAAAAGTACCCGAGTTCACCTGGTTTTGATCTCTCTGAGCAAAAATCTTGATGGATCTGAAATTGTAAATATTCTGAGATTGGGGATATTCCGAACGGGTTAGCGAATTTGAGACAAAAATTATCTTGTTGGAGGCATACCAAGGGAACGAAATTTTGCATACTCCAAAATTGGAAAAAGTTAAAGAAACCGATGAGCTATTACTCATTGTTTGTTGTAAAGCTATATTATTTTTTTCCATACATTCTGTAATCGTACAGTGAAATATTAAAACAGATTTTTAGTAAGCATAGTGATTAAGTTCTTACACCTTTAATAATGGTAGTTTTTCGCAATTCTTCGGCCTTTCGATTGAAAAATGAATTATCAAAGTAGTTTTTTTTTCCCAACTGTAAGCTCAAAAACCCGAGAGTAATCTTCATATAATTCCAAAATTCAGAAAATGAAAAAACAGCATCCATGGCCGTGAAATGTTATAAAGTGCACGTACCAGTGTAGAGGTAAACGTAATAAAAAGACACTTGATTGCGCGATAAATTTTGTTTTTCCCCAAGCTACTACACTAGAGCTTTAAGTACCCAGCTCAGCTACTTACCCACATGCTCTCTCGGCAACCGTATGGCCACGTACAGCAACGAACAGTTTCGCGATTTTTATTCACGAGCACTCCCGAGTATACGGAGGCGTTAAATCGTAAAATCGCTAAGAGTGATAGAAACATGACACTACGACATAGACGTTTTTTACGAATTTATCACGCGCATTCTATACGGCATGTATAGGGTCGTGGCTACTACACCCATAAAGAGAATAGAGCACTCGAACCGCGCAGCTGTAGGCGATTTTACTTTCCTTTTATCACTAGAGTCAGTTTTAGTGCCGAGGGTGTTCTCAATCAGGTACGGAATTTTTTCGATAAAATTTTATCCATCGCCCACCGACAGAGCTGATATTCTTTGTCGCAGAGTTTAGGCGAATACAATTTTCTTGTTCTGCTGAAATTCGATCCCGTACCCTTCGAGACAAAATATGCACCAGCTTTTTTTTTTTTTTTTTTTTTTTTTACTGTCGTAACGAGCATAGCTACGTGCACATGCTTATCGTTTAAAATTATCGTGCTCAAGCTTCATACTTTTGCTTTTCCAAAGATCTTGAATGAAAACGATTAGAGATAACAAAGTAACCATGTGTGCAATGCGTGTATTATGCATAAATTTGCATCCTAGTCTAGTCCCTGGGAAGTAATGAAATTATCAACTCGTCAGGTACAACGTGTTAACAAATCGTACATGTATTGTAACGGTTGAGTGCGAATTGTCTTGGCAAATTAACGGTTGTCAAAGTGAGAGGCTCAAGAACGTACGAAATCAGTGAGCAAGGCCACTTGAGTTTTCAGGATGACGGGTATCACAAAAATGATGGGAATAATCTTTAAACTGTTAGAGAAAAATCGTAGTCAAATTTTGTTGGTGCCATTTTAGAACAAACGCCTGATTTTTAGGTTCATCCATTAAAATAAAAAATAAAAAATTCCTTTCTACCTAATTTATCTACTTACATTGTAATACACGAACTGAATACATGTATCAACTATTACGTTTGTTATCTAAGAATTATTCACAGTGAGATGTATTTTATACAAACACATGTAGCTATCGAAATTTCATCAAGTATTTTATAACTGTTCTTCAGAAAACATTTTTTATTAATTCTTAACTATGTTTTTTTTTTCTTAAAATTTTCAGAAACCCGACATGGTGGAAAAGACGCTCGGCACTCGAGCGTGGCCTCACGGTCGTGGCCGTGTGCGCCGTATTGGCAGCCGTAGCTTTCGCCATTGGTCTCGTGTTCGTAGCCACCAGCGTTGAAAACTGCGAGTCAGTTCGTACCGGTGAGTGCACCAATAACACCAATAAAAAAAAAAAAAAAAAAAAAAAAAAAAAAAGAACCTGTCCAAGATATTATTCAAATGAATAGTATGACGATAGAAAAATCTTGAAAAAAGATGTAAACCTATCTCCTCTTGAAAATGTCGGGATTAGTATTTCGCAAAAGTTTCGAGATGTCGCAAATGATAAATATATTTTTGTGTACAATTTTTTTTTTTTTTTTTTTTATTGTACATAAAGGGGTAAAAATTCAAAAAGTATATGTATGTAAATGCTGTAAAAGTCCAGAATTCAATAAAAAATAATGAAATTTTTTCAACGACTGTCGATGTAGCTAAAGAATCCTTGATTTTACTTGCGAGAGTTATTACACATCCTCAGCCTGTAACTGTCTACATCTTTGGTCCCTCAGTATTTTATCTCACCCACGCCTAATTCTTATACTTATGTACATCGGATTTACATAATTTTTAACATACTGTCCTCTTTTTTATTATCCAAAAAAAAAAAAAAAAAAATATTTAATTTTATTTTTGCATTTCCTTACATCACAACAAAAATCGCACCAAAACCCACGAACAATGCATTGCACGTCATATCTTCATGCATCGTGTCCCATCGCTCACGTAAACGACATCAATGTGTGTCTGTATCAATCGAATCGTCACACCTGATCATCGCACAATCATCATTGGCCCATTGGCTGTCGACGACAGCCGAACCAGCTAATGCGGAAATGCTACCTTCCATAGCCGAAGCCCTTAAGGAAATCACTGGACGAAAGACTCCGCAGGTAGTCCAAAAAACGCCTGAGATCTGCGACTCTCCAGGATGTGTGCACACAGGTATGTTTTCGTTATTTACTTTAGATATTTATTATTGTTGTACTTGCTGATACTCCATTCTCGCTTTGGGGTAAAGTGTCAAGATAATTGATCTATGTGTGAGAGATCGGTATCTACTCTATCTCTATCTGGGTAGATTCTGTGACACTGAAAGATTAGAAAATAAACATTCAGCTATTATGGGGTTAAAATTGGAGGTAAACAAGTGTAATGTTTTTAGTGACAATGCCAAAGTCGTATTATTTTTTTAAACTTTATCAACGTCATACGTTATGGAGTGAGAAGAAATGAAATTTATATTTCAAGCTGTAGACTTACTTTCATCTGTATCTGGTTACGTAAATTTATTTTTAAAAATCTCACGTGGATACCAGACTTTTGAAATTTGACTCCCAAATAAAAATATATAACTTCGTTTTGTGTCGTATAATTTTACGCCAATTTTCTGCCCAAAAAAATGACAATTATCATGGGTGAAGTATAAAGTACTGAAAATTAACAACTTACCCATCATATGTGTACAGCCTCATCGATATTGGAGAACATGGATCCAACAGTCGAGCCCTGCGACGATTTCTACAGATTCGCTTGTGGAGGTTTCCTTAAAAACACAATCATACCCGACGATAAGACGAGCGTCAACACTTTTAGCATCATCAGCGACAAGCTGCAAAAGCAACTCAGAGCCAGTATCGAAGAGGAGAGCAAACCTGACGACCCAAGACCATTCAAACTCCTCAAGACCTACTACCAGAACTGCATGAACAAGAGTAAGTCTTATTTGTGTTTCTTGTGAATAAAAAACAAAAAAAACAAAAGACCCTTAATGAGATTCGAGCCCACGAACAAAATTTTTTTTGGCACTACAAAGTTACTACCTAAGGGTATCATCGCCTTACTTCACCATTTGAAAATAAGTATCATTTTTTCTGAATTTGAAGCCTGTATCTAATTTTTGAATTTTAAAAGCGTATATTTATCTTTATTCTAATTCAAATTGAAAATAATAGTGTTTCGACACCACTGCTTCATAAAAATACCTTATATTTTTTTTTAATTTAGAGACAAGATGGTACACTTTGAAATTCAGAAACAAAATGACATGTTATGACATTTGGGTTAGGATGGATCCAAAGACATTTTTTGTACAATCAAATTGATAACTTAAACTTTGATAAGGAATTAGTGATACAATGATATTCATAAAAATTAATAATAAAACAGCCCAGATCGAGGAACAAGGTCTGGATCCGCTGCACCGAAATTTGAAGGAATTGGGTGGCTGGCCGGTCCTCATGAAAGAATCTTGGGTCGACGCTGACTGGAACTGGAAAGAGTCCGTGTACAAGCTTCGCAAAATGGGATACTCAATCGATTATTTTATCGACTTTAGTATCAGCTCCGATCTCAAAAATAGCACCAAGCGCACAATTGATGTGAGTTAGCGAAGTTAAAGAAATACTAGCATCTGTAGCGCTTATACATTGTTTAGTATCAAACACGGAACTAAATTTTTTTTTTTTTTTTAATTTATCATCCACCTAGATTTATTTTATTTCGATTTCTACTTAATAAAATTCACTTTTCTTTAAGGTAAATTATCTTTTTAAATTTTTGGTTTGATTATTGTATTTCGTATAAAATGTCCAGTAACGACCACGTCTCTCTTTTGTCCTCTATCAGTGATTTAATAAAGAAATAATGATTGAACTTCACTTTTTTTTTTCATTGAGTCAATCGCTGTAAACGAAAAAATAAAGAAACAAACATACCTTTCTCTAATAGCTGGATCAAGCGGCACTGGGTATATCACGCGAGTACTTGTCACGGGGCATGAGTGACAGGATCGTAAAAGCTTACTACGACTATATGGTTGACATTGCCCAGATCCTCGGAGCCGATGGAGACTACGCCGCTGAGCAACTCAAAGAGTCACTAGAGTTTGAAATCAAACTCGCCAACGTAAGCATAAAAACTCGGAAAAAAGTAAAAAAAAATAGCAAAAAAAATATTTGAAACTAAAATATTTTCCCTAGATCTCACTTCCAAGTGAGAAACGGCGCAACGCCACGGCTCTGTACAACGCAATGACCATAGCCGAGCTGTCCAAGCGATTCCCGTCTATACCTTGGATTGAGTACTTCAACACCATATTGGCACCAACAACTAGCGTCACGGAGGATGAGGTTGTCGTTGTTGATGTGCCAAGTTTTATCACAGAACTTGAGAAGTTACTTGTACAGACGCCCAAACGAGTACTGGCGAACTACGTAATGTGGCGCGTTGCTGGAAGTTCTGTCAGCTACCTGAACGACGAGATCAGGAAGCGCCAGCTTGCTTACTCTACCATTGTTAGTGGTAAGTTTTTTTTCATTTTATTTAAAAATCTGTAAGATTCTTTTAGTTTATTAATTTTTATCTCGAGGGCTTCAAAAACAAAAATATTGTAATGTATATTTCTATCTGTGGTTGTGAAGCACTTGCAACCTTTCAAACTGATACGGACAAATAAGTGTAATATTAATCATTATAGCAAAATAAATAAGTTCCAATGNATTTATCATCCACCTAGATTTATTTTATTTCGATTTCTACTTAATAAAATTCACTTTTCTTTAAGGTAAATTATCTTTTTAAATTTTTGGTTTGATTATTGTATTTCGTATAAAATGTCCAGTAACGACCACGTCTCTCTTTTGTCCTCTATCAGTGATTTAATAAAGAAATAATGATTGAACTTCACTTTTTTTTTTCATTGAGTCAATCGCTGTAAACGAAAAAATAAAGAAACAAACATACCTTTCTCTAATAGCTGGATCAAGCGGCACTGGGTATATCACGCGAGTACTTGTCACGGGGCATGAGTGACAGGATCGTAAAAGCTTACTACGACTATATGGTTGACATTGCCCAGATCCTCGGAGCCGATGGAGACTACGCCGCTGAGCAACTCAAAGAGTCACTAGAGTTTGAAATCAAACTCGCCAACGTAAGCATAAAAACTCGGAAAAAAGTAAAAAAAAATAGCAAAAAAAATATTTGAAACTAAAATATTTTCCCTAGATCTCACTTCCAAGTGAGAAACGGCGCAACGCCACGGCTCTGTACAACGCAATGACCATAGCCGAGCTGTCCAAGCGATTCCCGTCTATACCTTGGATTGAGTACTTCAACACCATATTGGCACCAACAACTAGCGTCACGGAGGATGAGGTTGTCGTTGTTGATGTGCCAAGTTTTATCACAGAACTTGAGAAGTTACTTGTACAGACGCCCAAACGAGTACTGGCGAACTACGTAATGTGGCGCGTTGCTGGAAGTTCTGTCAGCTACCTGAACGACGAGATCAGGAAGCGCCAGCTTGCTTACTCTACCATTGTTAGTGGTAAGTTTTTTTTCATTTTATTTAAAAATCTGTAAGATTCTTTTAGTTTATTAATTTTTATCTCGAGGGCTTCAAAAACAAAAATATTGTAATGTATATTTCTATCTGTGGTTGTGAAGCACTTGCAACCTTTCAAACTGATACGGACAAATAAGTGTAATATTAATCATTATAGCAAAATAAATAAGTTCCAATGGACATACTATCATCACAGTTCAGAATATAAATTTGGTTGTGTGAGCGAAATAATTAATCCAAGTACTTTTTGTCAACAGTTTGACGAAACGTAGATGAAATATAAAGTTCAGTAGATGGCATTACCAACAGCCACTTACTGCCTACATTTTGAGTAAAATTAAATTAAAAAATTCATGTATGTTTTTAAATGCAACAGGAAAAACCGAGCGCGAGCCACGTTGGAAGGAGTGCGTGAATTCAGTAACCAGCGGTTTCTCCATAAGCGTGGGTGCACTCTACGTAAGGAAGTACTTCAACGAGGACGCGAAAAAGACCGCCATTGAGATGGTATCAGACATCAGAAATGAGTTCATAAAAATCCTGCATACAGTCAGTACAAAAATCTATTTTAAGTTGTCAAAATTTTATTGAGAATAGAAAATAAAATATGTTATGTAACTGATGGATTAAAGATCGACTGGATGGACAACAAAACGAAAGAGGCTGCCCTGGATAAGGCCAAATCCATGACAACCCACATAGCGTATCCGGACGAGCTGCTCGACGACAAGAAGCTGGAGAAATTCTACGAAAAGCTGGAGATCTCACCAGGAAGTTATCTCAAAAATGCCCTTAATCTAACGCTGTTTGGAACTGAGTATGCCTTCGAGATACTGAGGAAGCCGGTCAACAAGAGCGAGTGGATCAGCCATGGCAGACCCGCTATTGTCAATGCGTTTTATTCATCCATTGAAAACAGCATACGTGAGTTTTTTAATCCTTTATTTGGATATCCTGCATTGAAATCAATAAATCTTTTTATGAACCTTTTAATATGACTCGAAATAATAATAGGTTTTTAAAACTTTTAATTTAAAAAAAAAATTTTTTTTACACGACAACAAAATGACTGTCAACAATATGCACTGTAAAAATGTCTAAACATGGCCGATTTAACCATAAAATCAACAGAATTTCCAGCTGGCATCCTTCAAGGCGCGTTTTTCAGTAATGACCGACCAAAGTACATGAACTACGGTGCGATAGGTTTTGTAATGGGCCACGAAATTACCCACGGCTTCGACGATCAAGGCCGGCAGTTCGACAAGGAGGGTAATCTGGTCGAATGGTGGGAGGAGGAGACCAAAAATAAGTACCTCAAAAAAGCCGAGTGTATCATACATCAGTACGGCAACTATACGGCCAGTGAAGTGGAACTTAGTGTAAGTTTTTTTTTGTATGACATGATTTAGGTAGAAATTTAATTAAAAATTTTTTTTTACCATCATTGAGATAGTATATTTAGTG